CAAATTATGACACCATTCCACATCTGCTAGACGTACAAAACCCTTGCACCTCTGTGTTCCATACACGCACTTATCCCACATACTTTATACCCGACACACATTTACTTTTAATACACATCAATAACCAATGATCATCCAATTCCAATGAGACGACCAATACACAATGAAATGACCAATACACAACATCATCAATAAAACAATGATCTTGTCACCTGGCTACCAATACCTATCAACGAAAATGTAAAACATATTGCTTGTGAATGACCTACATACGCTACAGCCTAGAGGCGGCGCAGAACTATTCTGAACAAAAGCAGCACGCGATGATCTGCGCGGAACTCTCGAGATTTGAGGCTCATACAAACCTAAATCTCCCGCTTAATGCGAGGATTAACTCTGTATGTCTAACAACACCTTCCCTCCGCCTGCTGTTTTCAGGAGTTTGTGCGGATTGCTCAAGTGCGGATTAATTTTACAACTGGTTTTGACTTTTGGGGGCAGGTAGATGGCGCTAGGTTATAGAGTTTCGCTCTTTGAAAATTGAATTCATTCAAGAAAAATTAATGATCTGTATGGCTTTGTGGATGTGTTTAATGTGATCAGCGGCCGATAGGCTGCTTGCAGTGACGTACTTTTAAAGTCTAGCGACGGCGGCGTTAGATAGCATCGCCCAAAAGTTTTACGACAAGTATTAATTACTCAAGTTTTGAATGTCTAATGAGCCGAATTAAAATCACATGCATCAAAGAATGAGGCAATAAAAGTTGACATTGTAGTTTCAACTAAAAGCTTTTAAATGTGGTTTCGATGATTTCTTCTTGTATTCAAAATGGGTTTTTAATTACATCTCTGGTTTTTAATTTCTCAAAATGTGTTTTATTTCGCGTTTCAAAAGTGCGTGTTTGGTTGTTGTTTTTTATAAATTTGCACACAAAAAATATTTCCAATAAAAAAAAAAATCTGTTGTTTTCTCGAGATTCCTAATTTGATTGTTTTTTTTTTAATAATCAGGTCACTTAAGGACACGGGACATATTTGGCTGGCTTACAACAGACGACATGAGTGTTCTGGAAGATATTGAAGGCAAGGGGAGGTAACCTTGTTGATGTTTAGTTCCACTTCTGGTCTTCATTTTTCGCATCTCTTCAACATATTCACGAAATAAGTCTGTCCACCATTTGCCCTTATTTTACCCTTTAGTAAAATTCTTATAAATAAACTAAACTTTACAAAATTTTGTACTATTGTTGGCAATTGTTATATCCAGATTTCGCGTAGATTTTTTTGTTTTCAGCCTAGAGCAAACATGGCTACTGTACTACCATGGTGTGAAACACACACATATTTAGACTTCCACACAAGGCCGTCTCCACTGATTTGTGAAAGCTTTATTTTAGAACCCCACCTCAAACCTTGGCGTTACCGAATACAGAGGACGGGAATTTCCGTTTAGCTGATTGCGGTGCTATAAATAGTTGATGGGCCGATCGTATCGAAAGTGTGATTACAATAATTGAAGTATTCGAGTATCCCTGCTATCAATGCAAGTTAAATCAACGCGAATAAAAATAGACATTAAAATTATATTCTCTTTGAAAATGGATTTCGTGGTTTAGCTTAATTACATAGTCCCACATATGTTAAACATCGCTGTCTAGTTTGTTTCAGTAATTAATTTCCCTGGCCAACGTTGGCTAGCGGGCCGAGAGATAAACGGGTTACTGGCTGAGGAAATGGCCGCAAGCTTATGGCCTGTTGAAAGTGTGGGTCCTTAGTGTCCGCGCGATTACACTGACCGCTGGGCAGTAGACGGGGCTACCAGGAGACTGGCGGTACTCTGCGAGCTAACGTACTTAACATTAAGCTAATTGAGGTCAGACAATTCAATAGCTAAATGGGGGTGGGGGGGGGGGGTCGGTAAGCGATGAGAGTGTCCAGGCATTGTCTTAAGTACAGGGACTCTGGCCGCGAGAAATTGCTTTAACTTTATGGGAAAAATTGGTTTAACTCTATAGGAACTGAAGTGGTTTAACTCTATAGTAACTGAAGTGGTTTAACTCTATAGGAACTCTAGCGTGGTTTAACTCTATAGGAATCTAAGGGTAAAAATGGGTTGAACTATACGACCAGAATCAATAAATCATTGTTTTAACTCTATAGGGACAAACGCGGTTAAATTCCAGAAGAATACTAACGATGGACAATTAGATTTTACCCAATAGAAACTCTAATCCTAAGAAATCGGTTAAACTGCTTTTGTTTGAACTTTCAAATCCACCCCCCCCCCATAAAAATCTAGAATAATCGATTGCTGAACAAGACTATGACTCTCATCAATATTTTCTATCAACGCATGTTCTGAAATCTTGACTGTGTAGCTTTCTTGCGCCAGTACTTAAAGTGCAATTGGCAATACGGCGGGAATCATTTCGTGTTCAATAAAACAGGTCAATCGGGTTCAAGGTTATTCAAAACTGGAGGGTGTGAGGAGCGGGGTGGAGTGGAACAGAAAATGAGACGAAAATATCGATCAATCCTGGCTAGAGATAATCTGAGAAATTGAAAATCACGACTGGGGACAGTGGCGGCGTCACGCTTGATGTGCACTGTCTCATGTAGTACTACACGGTGGGGGGGGGGGGAGGAGGGGGGGGGGGAGTGGTAGCCTAGTACAGCTGCGACATCAAGCTACAACATGGCGGTTAGAGAAAATACTTTGAGGCATCACACAATATGTCATACAACTGTCAGAAATACTAGTTCCATACTTCAAAATAACGTTTCACAAAAAGGTTGGAAATCATAGTTTCACACTTCACACAATATTTCATAGAATGGCTTGAAAGAGTAGTTGTACAAATCACACTGACATTTCACATAATGAATAGAAATATGTGAATAAACTTGTAACCGCTGCATTCAACACACAATTTGGTATCTTAGCAAACACTTTATACAACTTGGTATCTGAGCAATCAATATACACAACCAGGTATCTGACCTGTCATTTTACACAATTTGGTATCTAACCAATTACTTCACACTTGCACTGCAGTCAATACTGTGTAGCCTAAAGTAGATACTACAGTTTGCGGTTAAATCAACAGCTTGTCTGGATCTTAAGTTATTTATGCTGTGGGGCCTAGGGCGCCATCTTGGTGAACAGTGGAACAGAAGCGAGCTCGTTAAATTCATAAAGAATGCCCACTGAAGTTATGGTTCTAAAACATGTTGAGTTGCTTCTCGTGGACCGCGTATTGACCAGTCCAGTCTCGCAACATGTGCAGGCAACACGTTTTTTAATAGCTGCTCCGACACCTTACCCCCCCCCCCCCTTATCACCCTCTCCCCACCCACGAAGAAATGGAAGCAACTCGCAAATTTACTGTTTCATTAACATATTAGGAATCCATTTTTTAACGCGGGTCGCGTCACGTGGAACACGCCATGTTGGTGTAGGCTGGCGTCGCTGTGACGTGGGTACCAGGTCACGTGGGAGCCACCAGCAGCCGGACGGAACTCATCTTTCATTCCTTTAGCATTGTCTCCAGCAATTACCTGCCCCTGAATTAACCTTGGTTTGCAGCCCCCAGATTAGGGCCCTCGCGTTCCTCCTATCGTTCCACAGGCGCCCATCACGGCCAATTATTCCTTGCTCACCAACCGTGCACTATTTGCAGATGAATTGAACACGAGGGAGAGATGGGAGCGTTCCGATGACCAGAGGAGTTGTCTCCCTGTAGACACGAGCCGGAGTTACGGTCCTTGTGATAACTCCGTCCCAGGGCGCCCTGTTGTGGCTTTGATTAAAGCGGCTTAAAATTGAGTTTCACGCGCAATTTTTTTTGGGATGTGTGAGCGGCTCTCATACAGAGAGAGGAGACAGATACAGATGGGGAGAGGGGGAGAGATTGGTCTATTGTTATCGATGTATTTAAGTTTGTTTAGCCATTTAAAAAAAAAAATATAGCAAAACGTAAACAAAATGTAAATATGTGAGTGTATTAGTGTGATAAAAATACCATCATCTATACATTAAGGAAAGAAATCAATCATTCCTAAAATTTCAGATTTCGATAAAGTTTTTCCAATTCGAAACAATTATGTACAAATGATGTAACAATATAAATAACAAACAAGAGACCAAGAATCCACTCACGAATAGTCACTAACACTCAAGCCCACACAGACAAATAGAGGCACATATTTCATCCATTATAAATGCCCCGCCCCACCCCCACCCCTGTAGGACCTGAGGATGTCCGGCCAGTGAGATCAAACGACGGACAACGTCATTTTGGTGCCGGGAGGTTGATACCATCGCTGAGTGGTGACCCCAATTGACGGGGGGGGGGGCTTTTAATTTAATTACTTGTCAGGCGGCGGAGTTTCTCCACAATTAGGCTGGCCCGCACAGAGTTTGAGCTGGGGGCTCAAAGTGTGTGGGGTGTGTGGACTTGTGTGTGTGTGTTCAGGGGGGGGGGGGTTGAGTTCAACTGTATATAATATGTGTTAATGTCACCACTTGCCCAGTCACCAGTCAACCTGATTGTGCGTGTGCGTTAGCAATACGAGGTGCGTCACAATCAGAAATTTTTTGAAGGCATATCCTTTGGGGTGAAACCCCTTTTCGAATCAAGTTCACCCCCCCCCACCCCCCCCACACACACACACAAGCACAAATATACTTCTACCACTGTCTGCTCACACTCTCCCCGAATGTTTCAAGTACCCCTTCCCCCCCCCCCCCGCCGGAGATAAATTTCTGAAAGAAACACTTGTCAAAACGTTTGTATTAATAACACGTCCAACTATTGCCAGTTGAAGTAAGGTGGAAAACCACGTATGTAACTAGTGGGAGTCGACCATCACAGTTTTGGTCATGATTCTTAAGTTTGAATAGTGTGTCGGACATTGAATTAAACTAGCAATTATATTGTTCCAGAAATTCATCGTCATGTAAAAAAAAATATATTAAAAAAATAAAGCCAAGAAAAAAAGTTTTAGCATTGGCTTTAATTAAGCACTTGGCCAAAAATGAGACAGCACTGTTTATTAAGCACATGACAAAATGAGACAGCACTATTTATTTAGCACATGTCAGAAAGCACTATTTATAATTCTAAAACTGCCATGACTTAAACCAGACCGCGGTGCTAAATAATTCTCTCTGAGGCTGGAAGGTCTCCAAATTTTAAGCCGCTCCAAGATGGCGGAAAGTGGGGGAAGGGGGTAGGGGGTCGGAGTGCCGGCAGAGAGCGGCTATGATTGCATCACGATATTGCCGGTTTCCTGGGCCGGTGCCGCCACAGGCGCCGGATGTTCTAAGTGGAAGAGTTCCGGTGGAGTTTGTCGATTCCAGTTTCTTCCCTCCCTTTCTAGAGACTGGGGAGAGATAGGAAAATTTCAATTTTTTTTTTTTGCGAAACAAAAGATTATTTTTAAAGAAAACGTTTGGTTAACATAATAATATTTAGTTAAAACGAAGCCTTTTCTAATTTATAAAACAATATCAAAGTAATGCAAAAAAAAAAAAAAATTAGATGGAAATGAATTAAGGAAATGAATTTGATAACATTTTTTTTTTAAATATCGCTTTTTATCTTGAAAGTTTGTATTATATGTAAACAATATATGTGAAAAAATCATTTTCTTATGCAGATACGGATATCTGAGTATCTGTGAGATGGTTGCCGGATAATAATTTTATTACGAGTCAGATAACAAACGGAAGCCATTGAATTTAAAATGTCACAAAAATCTGGCAAGATTGCAATCCTTGCACAAGCATAACCAAAAAATAAGACCGGCTTGCTTTCAGATTTCCGACAGTTCATTTGTCTAGCACGCAATGATTTCCTGTTGCATGAGGCATATGTGGCTGACACGGTATGTGTGTGTGTGTGTTTATGTGTGTGTGTGTGCCAATAACATATGTGGCTGGCACGGTATTTGTGTGTGTGTTTATGTGTGTGTGTGTGTGTGCCAATAACATATGTGGCTGACACGGGATGTTTGTGTGTGTTTATATGTGTCTGTGTGTGTGTCTGTGTGTGTGTGCCAATAACACATGTGGCAGACACGGTACGTGTGTGTGTTTATGTGTGTCTGTGTGTGTGTGTGCCAATAACATATGTGGCTGGCACGGGACGTGTGTGTGTTAATGTGTGTCTGTGTGTGTGTGCCAATAACATATGTGGCTGGCACGGGACGTGTGTGTGTTTATGTGTGTCTGTGTCTGTGTGTGTGTGAACAACATGTGGCTGGCATGGGAAGTGTATGTTTATGTGTGTGTGTGTGTGTGTGTGTGTATTTCTCTGTGTGTATGTGAGGTGAATGTGACGTGTATGTACAACAACATATGGAAAACATGGAGAAAGTGTGTAAAATTATGTCACGTATGTGTGTGTCGATCGTTTACTTGTGACATACGTAGATTGTGTCGGTGGATAATTAACTGACACACGTAGACACACAATCACGTGAAGACACACGTACTGTGTCTGGACTGGATATATTTTAAAGAAATGATTGTACAATATTTTGTCTAGCTGTTCACCTAATATCAACATTCTGGGCTCAATGTGTACTTTGAGAACATACGATTGTGTTGTGTTTAACTTTAGTTCTGTTTTTACGTCTAACTATTGTTTCAAAAGTTTCAGGCTGAAACAGTTTAATTGGTGGCGTCAAAAAGGCGGGGTGCTATGTTTGGGCTGATCTAGTGATGGGGAGAGATGAGGGGACGACGCCGACACCAAACGAAAAGTAGCAAGTGTTAACGAGAAATTCACATTGTTACAGGTAGTTTAATGCAAGTTCAATACATAAATACACGAAGGGTGACACTGTCCAGGCTAGGGGGGTGGGGTGGGGGGAAGGGGGACGACGACACACGAACTCTGCTATAGTTGTAGTATATCATAAATATGGTTGACAGAGGTGAGGGGGAGTGGCACCCTGGGCTACCACAGGGGGTGTAACCCGACCTAGTGACGCCACAGATTGAAATAATAACCCAATCTCTACCAACAATCAAACAATCAAAATACGCCAATCACACGTCAGCCAGTGACCTAATGAACTGGGATTGATGAAATCCGCCAGTTGGATTGTGGGAAGTTTTTTTCCGACCGTGCGAGGCTAGAGTTACACGTGCAGGGTTGGAATGAGCGGTTGGCGTGCGGCACTGCTCTAGAGATGTACTCACCGTCACGGAAGATCTGCTATCGCCAGTCATCACTGGGCACCACAAGTTAAGCTGCGTCCTGACTCTCGCTTTTGATTGGCTGATAGCAGACAGGCATGATGGAGACCCGTTGATGGGGGAACTCAGGCAAACTCTACTTCCTCCCAGTGTAATAGGCTACATCCTCCCATTGAGTTATAGGCTACAACCACTCAATGAGTAATAGGCTACCTCCACTCAATGAGTGGTGGACTACATCCTCAAAATGAGTAATAGGCTACATCATACCAAAGTTCAATAAGCTACCAGGCTCCTATTCTGTAGTAGGCTACCACCACCACTCTACTTCCCCTGTGCCAATGCTTGTTGCATTAACATGATAGCTATCTTTCTTTGGCGCATCACGCTACGATCCACATGTATGACGAATTTTCAGTTATCAAATAGTCAAAATAGGCTTTCAGTAGCAGATTAATAGAGGCTTTCAGTAACAGTTGAATAGTTGGACAATGTCACCATTGCATATCAGTTGAAGGAGGCGAGATGTTTGTTAGAAAGTCAGACTGGCAATCGATGCCACCTTCGCATGCCAAGACTTGGCCATCTAAGTACTATATGTCAAGTACTATATGTCAAGTGCTATATGTCAAGTGCTATGTGTCAAGTGCTATATGTCAAGTACTATATGTCAAGTACGATATGTCTACTCACAGGCCATTTAATTCTCTCTTGAGAATACTCGAGGCTACAATGTATACAAAAACACAGAAGCCAAATGTCTCTATGGTTAGAGTCAAGCTAAACAAACGTCCGTAAATAACTTGACAGCAAACACTAAAATCATGCTGATCGTCACCGCAACTATTAAAACATCATTTCAATTTTTTTTCGGAAATTACGCCTATTTTTAGAAAGAGGATCGTTTAAGAATTTTTTTAATTAACCCATTTTTCCAACCATTTAGCAGCCATCGGTCTGTGGGGACCAAATTAGCAGGAGGTTCCGCCGAATGGTCTGCTGGTTGCGCCACTGTGTTCAGCGATCCTTGAATCTCCAGACCCTCGCCGTGGTCCCGTCGAGGCAGCCTTCAGACCGTCAAGAGAATGCCTATATTGTCATCGCGTTCAATTGACTCGTGACGGTGGTATGTCTTCAATGGTCGAGGCGGGCTTGATGCTGCCGGCTGGGGACGAGGGCCGCGGCTATCTCATGTCCCATCACACTTTTGATAAATTCAGACTCGTCTTGTGAACGTACAGGAGAAGTGTATCGGGGACCGGAATCTTCAGCCGGCAGGAATGGTTTGGCTCCGTGTTTAGGGTGGGGTGGGGGTAAACCTGGGGTGGGGGGTGTCTAGAAAGGGGAGCAAACGAGGCTTCAAAAGACAATTTTTATTCAAAGATCAGCTGTATCAAGTCCTATCAATGTCGTTTCAATGGGTGGCGAAATTGCATTTCATACTTTCATTTTTGTGTTGGGGAGATAAAAAAGTGAAGTTGTCTTTTTCGCTGTGATGTTTTATGGCTTTATTGATGGGGCCATACGATATATGCCTCAACGTTCATGGAAGATAAAATAATACATATATTTGTTGAAAATATATTAAAAAACATCTGTGTTGTTATCTATAGAATTTCATCGCGTAAGGCAAGAAAAAACAAACATAAAGAATAAATGTGTTTTTGTGGGCTGTTGGCCGCTTTGTACTGGCCACATTGTACTGGCCATATTGTACGTGCATGTTGTATTAGCTATGTTGTATTGGCCATGCACTGGCCAAATTGTACTGGCCAAATTGTACTAGCCATTTTGTAGTAGCCATGTTGTACTGGCCATGTTGTACTGGCCATGTTGTACTGGTCATGTTGTACTGGTCATAAATAGTGTTGTATCAGAGGTTCAATCTCTTATTGTTGAAGATTCTTGAAGAATTTCGCAAATTTCTGAATCAGACGAAAGGTGAAGGTCGTAACGAGGTAGCCGGACACCTGTAACAATTATCCGTCTCTCGGTCGTCTGCTGGGCAACAGGACACTGGGTGATCGTCTGGTAAATACCGGAAGTCCTGGTTATGGAAACGAGGCAACGCTGTACGTAAGCAGACGGTTAGAATCCTGTTAGATAGAGATTTGATAGCCGCGTCTAGTTGGAGAGGAAGATAGGACATAACGATATACTTTGTTCAAGGTTGTTACAGCCGGGTTTAGGTGGGTCTATTGTAGGCGTGATCTTGTCGGTGTTAGTAGTTGTTGGTGTTGTCTGATGGTGTGGTGAGAATGGTGTGGTAGAATAATATGGTGTTGTGGTGAGATGGTGTGGTCTGATGGTGTGGTCTGATGGTGTGGTCTGATGGTGTGGTCTGATGTTGTGGTCTGATGTTGTGGTCTGATGGTGTGGTGAGATGGTGTGGTGAGATGGTGTGGTCTGATTGTGTGGTCTGATGTTGTGGTCTGATGGTGTGGTCTGATGGTGTGGTCTGATGGTGTGGTCTGATGTTGTGGTCTGGTGTTGTGGTCTGATGTTGAGGTCTGATGTTGTGGTCTGGTGTTGTGGTCTGATGTTGTGGTCTGATGGTGTTGTCTGATGGTGTGGTATGATGGTGTGGTCGGATGGTGTTGTCTGATGGTGTGGTCTGATGGTGTGGTCTGATGGTGTTGTCTGATGGTGTGGTCTGATGGTGTGGTATGATGGTGTGGTCGGATGGTGTGGTCAGATGGTGTGGTGAGACGGTGTGGTGAGATGGTGTGGTCGGATGGTGTGGTCAGATGGTGTGGTGAGACGGTGTGGTGAGATGGTGTGGTCTGATGGTGTTGTCTGATGGTGTGGTCTGATTGTGTGGTCTAATGTTGTGGTCTAATGTTGTGGTCTGATGGTGTTGTCTGATGGTGTGGTCTGATGGTGTGGTCTGATGGTGTGGTCTGATGGTGTGGTCTGATGGTGTGGTCTGATGGTGTGGTCTGATGGTGTGGTCTGATGTTGTGGTCTGATGGTGTGGTCTAATGTTGTGGTCTGATGTTGTTGTCTGATGGTGTGGTCTGATGGTGTGGTCTAATGTTGTGGTCTAATGTTGTGGTCTGATGGTGTTGTCTGATGGTGTGGTCTGATTGTGTGGTCTAATGTTGTGGTCTGATGGTGTTGTCTGATGGTGTGGTCTGATGGTGTTGTCTGATGGTGTGGTCTGATGGTGTGGTCTAAT